TGTTGACATAACATGACGAAAATATGATCAAATTTATATTTTTTAATTGCAAAAAAGAACATGGAGAATTGAATTATGAGGATTTTAAGAAAATATCACAATAATGATAAATATTTATCAGTAAAGGTCACATGATCATTGATTCATGAATAAAGTGTACAGCATTTCTTCATATGGACCGTCTCGCGAGAGATCAGTCGGTAGAGTGCTCGCTCTGTGATCAGAAGGACGTGTGTTCAAATCCCGGCGCAACTAACCTAAGTCGATAAATAATAAGTAGGAACTGTTCCTTCGCCAAGCACTCGGCACTTTGAAGTGAAAGTTGCGGGTCTTTTGGATGAAACCTTAAAAACCGAGGCCCCGTATCAGGGCAGATGTTGGCACGATAAAGATCCCTCAGTGCACAGTGGCCCTGAGTGACGAGTAAAGGTAAAAAAAAATTAGAAGCCCTTCACTGTTATGTGGTGACGTCTCTATATGAGAGAAAAAATGCGTAAACAACATCCAATCAATCAATATACTTTCATATAAATTTTGAATCTGATTCGTCAAAAAACAGCTGTTAAAACATTACTACATGTATTACCCTCTGAATTATGAAACGACGTCATCCAACGAAGAAACAGCTTGTTGACAGGTGAAATTTCCAAAAATGTTGAATGCGCAGTACTTATACGCGTACGGTTCAATGTTATATGTATGGGTATCAAACATTCAGTACAATTTAAAAAAAATATATACATGTATATACATATATTTATAGCAAGTTGTTGAGGTACCATTTTCCAGGAGTGGAGATAATACACTTAGGGTATTCCATCCCTAATAGCCTCAGATTCAATGAATTTGAATACATAACAGATGTGTACGGGTGGATTACTCAGCGTATTTAAACATAATTCCCTTTTATTACCACTAGCATGTAAGATTGGAACGTGTCCTAATTTGTGACCTTGACCTTTGTTGAAGAGTTATTTCCATCTTTTTTAAAGTAATAAAAACCAATTTTTAAAAAATCTATACGGTAAAAAAATTGTTTTCAATTGTCATTCTATTTCTAATGATTTAATGCATCTTTCCACCGCAGTATTTATTGATATTCTCATTATTTGAATTTATATTTAAAAAAGATCGCTTGTCTCCATAGACAACAATGCAATTTCTGTCAATTAATTACTGCTTAGTTAATTACATTTTTGAAAGTTTCTCTTGGTAAATCCTTTTCTACTGTAAAATGCTCTGATATAATATCAGAGTATTATATACGTGATGGATATTTAAGGACAGAGAATTAGTTCCTATTAAGGATGGAAAACTTTAACGGGCCTCGTCAAAGATAACATAAGAAATCTAAGTTATGCGGTACCATATATCACACTGCAGGTATACATAATAATCATTCAATAAATTCCACAACAGACTTCTTTCACATTGATATTCTGTCAACGTATGAATTCCATGCCCGATTCAAATTCATCGGACAATTTCAAAAAAAAGAGGGGGGAGGGGGACACCCTGTGTGTATTCGTATTGTGCAATGTTTGAGTCTAATAATGTGTGTTATCCATAAACATGCATGCATATAAAGACATTTTGATCATTTATTTTTTAATTCATATTTTCACAACTTGTGAAGAAAAAAGTATCATTTTCGTAAGTTTTTGATTGCTTTTCTGAATTCCTTTTATAGAGACAAGGATTTAAAAAGGCAGATGGAGAAGAAGCGTACAACTTGCCGAAAGTACGAAAAATTTAATCCTCACTTTGTCAGATATCTAAACGTTTATTAGAATTAAAATTTTATGGTATTAGAATATATTTGTCTGAAATCTTCGAAAAAAGAAATATCCTTGGAAATAATTATATATCAGAGGGCTAGGTTTATGTTCTAAAATCGTTTTTAGCTCACCTGAGCTGAAAGCTCAAGTGAGCTTTTCTGATCACCCATTGTCCGTCCGTCTGTCTGTCTGTCCGTCTGTAAACTTTTCACATTTTCAACTTCTTCTCAAGAACCACTGGGGCAATTTTAACCAAACTTGGTACAAAGTATCCTTGAGTGAAGGGGAGTTTAAATTGTTAAAATAAAGGGCCAAGTCCCCTTACAAGGGGAGATAATCAAGAAAAGACAAAAATAGGGTGGGGTCATTAAAAAATCTTCTTCTCAAGAACAACTGGGCCAAAAAAGCTGAAACTTATGTGGAAGCATCCTGAGATAGTGTTATTTCTAAATTGTTCAAATCATGACCCCCGGGGGTAGGGCGGGGCCACAATAGGGAATTCAAGTTTAACATTGAAATATATAAGAAAAATTTAAAAATCTTCTTCTCAAGAACCACTGGACCAGAAAAGCTGAAACTTAAGTGGAAGCATGCTGGGGTAGTGTAGATTCTAAATTATTAAAATCATGACCCCTGGGGGGTAGGGTGGGGCCACAATAGGTATTACAAGGGGGGAAATCTGGTAAAGAACAGCATGGCCAAAGTTACTCAGATGAGCGATGTGGCCCATGGGCCTCTTGTTAACATCATCATTAGCTAAGGTACGGGGGAAGAGGAGGGGGGGGGGCAATCAATGAACAAAATTTGAACGATAGTTTCAGGATTTTTTTTTTTTTTTAAAGAGCATTATTATTAATGCATTTGATGGCATCTATTTCAGCATATGTATCCCCCTCCATTTGATCCAATGCACCCAACCCACTCAATTCAAAACCATACACTAGTCAAAAATATTTTGTCTCAGAGTTGATATACCTGTCAGTTTAAATGTTCGGATTAAGCAATAAATATACTTTTCCTCATCTTAACGATGTCATTAAACTGAAAATTTACACCATTAAGGAAATATGACTGATAATTCTCACTATTAGCTTAAACAACCGACATATTCCTTGCACATTGCACATATGGAGAAGTGGTATATATTTTGCTAATTTGCATAGCGGCCATATTGTATTTAATATGGCAGATTTCTGTTCAATACATTATATAAGGAAAAATTAGAAAAACAGAAATAAAAAAAAAATTAATGAATTCGGAATAATGTTTTCCTCTTATGATTCTATCTTTTATAATGTCCGGGATCGGAATGCACTCTTTTGTTTACAAAATGACGAAAAGTTTATGGTTCCTTTTCCTTTTGAATATCTGAAGCAAAGATTCATTACTTTGATATGAAATAAAATGTACCGATAAAGCTTGGAACGTTTTTGTCATGTAAATTTAGAAATATTTGCCATTTTCTGACTGAGTTCTTCCTCATATGACGTGAAACTGTGTAAGTTGTGCTTTCAGTTTCAGAAAATAAATCATTACATTTAAGATGATAAGACGGTTCCTTTTGAGCTTGAAAATCACAATTTGGCCTGAATTAAGACAAAGTGAATAAGCTTTCGAGTGGGGAAAACACAATTGTTTTTGGTCAGGAAAACTTTGCACTTGATTGTTGGCATAACATGATGAAAATATTATCAAGTTTTTATTTCTTTAATTTCAAAAAAGAACATTCATAATAAAATTTTAAGAATTTTTAGAAATATCGCAATATTAATGAATATTAATTTGTAACGGTCATGTGTTCATTGATTGGTGAATAAAGTGTACATTTCTCCATATTATTTTTTTTTTTTCAAATCAGATATTGTTAAAAAAATGTTAGAGTGTCTGTCACACCCTTTTTTCGTTTAAATCATAAAAAAATATATTATTTGTCACATGAAGGACATTGCCATCTTTGGTGAATTGTTTTAGATATTTTCTTATTTAATTTAAGATGCTGGTATGTTTGCGATATACTCGGCTAAAAAGACTTTCCGTCAGAGTTCGTGGACACATACACAGGGTTTCCCAACCCACAGTGTCCAGAATTATAGGCAATTTTTTTCAGTCCTTGACCTGTGACTACAAAACATTCAATTTTCAACATCACAACATGAAACCGTAAAAACCAAAACACAGTTTCACATACTTGCAAGCTTTCCTGGAGGCTATAGATATTACCTTAATCCCTTTCCTGACTCAAAAGGAAGACGAATACGTGTACATATGCCGTAAAGGATACCATGCCTTAAACGTTCAAAGCGTTGTGGACTCAACTTTAAGGTTAGAAACTGATTATTCATATATTGTTCATATGTACATGTATACATTTACTTCTCAAGTGAAAACAAGAGTGTAAATCTGATTATCTACGAATATTGCAGATTCGCGAACTTGGTTTGTAATTATGTAGCCGGGATCCCTTCGTGACAGTTTTATTTTCAACAAAAGCAAGTTTCATGAGATTTTGCAGGGGATAGACAATTGCTGATTGGTTGATGACTGTGTTATGGTGTTTGAAATGTTGTAGCTTTCCTCACACTTTATAAGCAAAATAGATGTGGAATTTAAATGTTTTCTAATATCTTTGTGTCTATATTGTTTGACATTGGTCTTTGACTTTGTGACCGCAAAATCAATACGGTATTCTTCTTATCGAGGGAAACTAATGTATCCAAATAAGATTGTCAAAAAGTTTCCGAGTCTGACATCTTTAAGAGTTAACTTGAACCACCCCCTCCTCCAATTTCTAAAAAAAAATTCCTCGATACGCGCCTGTTCTTTAGACCAAAAAAAAGTGAATCGAAATTGATGTACTGCTCATGTTTATGGTTACATCAAAATACAATACAGACCGATCATTTTCATTGAACAAAAGGTTTGCAACGATGGCAATTGTGTGTGCTATAGCTTATATAGAGGAGTTTCTACATCTTGAACAGATTATGCAAATTAAATTCATTCAATCTTACACCTTGGAACACTTTACTTTTGCCAAATATTAGTTGGAAAGTGTTAAATTCTCTAAAATATTTTACGGCCAGATTAATTTGTAGGAATATAATATTTTTTTTTAATTCTAGATAAAAACATTATCACTGAAAAAAAGATAACTGGGAACATGAATAGCAATAACTATTTATTAGACAAAGTTTTTACATATATATAAAATATCCAAGTCTCTTAGGAACTAACGTGGAATGTAAATGGCGGTCCAGGCAAATTGGTTATTTTTCCGTACACAGCGCATTTATATAATGGACAGGGGCTTTCCTGCCAAGCGTATCTGACCTGTACCACGTGGTTTCCATGGCCACACGAAGAAATATCCAAGGTTACAGTGGCAAAATCATGTGAGGTCATTGTAGCATTCATCCAATGAGTGTCAAATCCATTACAATAGGTTGTGGTCTTATTTACACAGCATACCTGCAGAGAAAAAATACATTCCCTGCAATATTGATGGTCATCAGGATTTCTGAGTTATTTACAATGCATAAATACTCAAACTAATTTTACAATGACAAAGATTATATTTTCAGTTCCTTCTTTTTTAATTAAGAAGCAAATTTGATTTTTATAAATTACTCAGTCATTTTTTTCGACCATACACGTACATGTATATGTATATTATTTTGATTGATAGTATAAGATACGCATGTACATGTGATTCTTACCTGAAAACCAGTATTTGATCTGACTTCAATAGGGGTTAGTCCGCGCCCGTATTCTATAGTGAGATGGCGGTGTGTGCTGTCAACCACAGCAGACGTAGGAAAAGGTCCCTCAAAGTCCACATCTCTCTCATGATAGGCTACACCCAGGGCTGAAAGGTACAGACGGTAGGCAACGTCATGTTTGTACCTCGGATGTATGCTACAATGGAAGAACATAGTTTTTATAATTTAAACTTAATTTATCTTAAATAATTTTTCTTTTGAATTTAAAAATAGGGAAAATTTATTCACCATATCCTTGATAGTGCATACAGTAACACGATTTCAGCGAACGAGTTAAAAGTGAATTCGCGCTAAACAACTAAGGGATTTTCATTTCAAATAGTTATATTTTATTACAAGCTTGTCGAGTATAACGATTTAATTTGTTCAGAATCAAAATTGTTCGTCCCTAACACTTCCAACTTAAACGTGATTTTAACTTTATATACTATTCAAATCACCATTTCATTTGTCAATATATGTTATATTGAACCGGAGAGAAATTATTTACCTTCCGTAGGGTGATTGATAATCAGGGAGATCGATAGCCACAGCCATAAATACATTGTGAAGCAGTGAATTGGGAACGTATCCTATGTTAGCTGTTTGGGCCCATCGTAGCTGAGGAAATCCAAGGTTTGCCTCCCCTTCTCTCCACGGTGCTAACTTCAATAGAATTTATCAAGAATCCCTGTTGAATTGATTTGAAAGAATTTTCAGTCCTATGGAGACATCACCAAATTTTAAGACTTTCGCGAAAGACTAAAACAAATTAATAGCCTGTTTCTTCTTTGGCTATGTCAAGAAAGGGTGTAAGGGATAAAATGGTCTCTTCCTTGTGTTTCATACTTATCAAATTCTAAAATGAAATCTCATATAAATATTCTAAGCAAAATATTTCTTTAAAAATGATCAAAAAAGGATGTATACAGGATTCAGATTGCTTTGTTCAGGCTTTCCATCTAGTATAGGTAAATTGAAACTTAAAAAATGCTTGACCATTTTTTAGAGTTCATCCCATGATCTGACCTAAACAAGAAAGTTTACTATAGTTACTGTATATAGTTACTAAAGTTAACTTTAGTTAAAACTTTTATATGCTATTAACTAAAAAACATTACTTTGGAACTGTTTTTTCAGATTTCAAAGCTGAAAATCTCTTAAATTTGATAACAATGATGTAAAATTTTGATATATATATATATATACACAGGCAATAGTTCCATTTAATTTAAAAAAGAAATACATGTATAAATTAGAGAACGTAATATATACCAATCTGAAATCCATATTTAAAAAAAAAACAACTTTGATTTACTATGGTAAAAACTTTGATTTACTATAGTAAAAACTTTTATACTGTTGTAAACTATAGTTAACTATAGTAAACTATAGTTAACTCAAGTGTTTTTCGTTAGGGGAATTCCACATCTTTATCATGTAAAGGACCAAATAATGCAATTAGAGCACCTGTACAAATCCAAAGGGAAATGAAGGGTTTGTCGTTCCCATTGATGCTTTGGTAAACTTCACTCTCCAGTCTTTTATCATTTCAAGAAACTGGCACGAGTAATGATATGCTTGTCTGGAGTTAGCCTCCCCTTGAAAAGCACAATTAAAATAATGAAATGAATCCTTCTATTTAAGAAAATATTTTCCAAAACTACATTTTGTCATATTTGGAAGAAATGTGAGAGGTTAAAAATATCGCTTATTTATCAATCTAGCATTTTTCACAAATTTGATAACATCAACCAAAGAAATAATAGTACTACAGATAAGAATGGTGAAATAAAAAGAGTGCTATGGGTATGATGCTTTACCTTGGTACCATATGACGCCTTTAATAGTATTTCTCAGCAGCGGGTAAACCATAGAATTGTACAATTGGCTATTCGAATTCTGATTCCTTGAAAGAGGTATTATATATATATATATATATATATATATATATATATATATATATATATATATATATATATATATATATATATATATATATATATATATATATATATATATAATGAAAAAATCAAGATTCACAAGACTCGAATAATCATTTTAACTGTAAGCGCTTTCTGCCTTTTAATGGTTCTTCAGACAGTTACAAAATGAATATGAAATTGCTTAGTAACGTTCATAAGCACGACGTCAATTATTGTTACAAATAATTAATAGCAGGAGACAGGCACCAATCTAAAGAAAATCCTAACCAGAGCAAGATTTGCATCGGACAATGCCAAAGTTGTCAAAAAGTGCCGTGACCCAAGCTGTGGAACATGTGAATATCTGGAGGAGGGCAGTGAAAAAACTCTAAAATGTTGTAAAAAAATTAACACCAAACGCCAACATCACCTGTAAGTCAGAAAATGTTATTTATTGCATAACCTGTCCAATTTGTAATGAATACAACATAGGACAAACCAGCAAATTGAACGCACGTCATTACAACAAATTCGGACCCGGTTATGCAATAAATAACCATTTCGCCTTGCAGGAGCACTGTTGGCTATCTGGTGATAAATTCTATTTTAAACATTTTCCGAGTTTTATAAAATGCCCAAGACTGTCACATGATCCAAGTAGCAAAGGGAGGACTAGTTTATTAAATTTATTCCAAAACTTAACAGAAAATAATTGCTTCAGAGTTAAATTATATATTTGTTTTTGAATTATAAGTGACTGTAACTGTGCAAATTATGATGCTACCTTTTAACGTTATTATGACGTCACAAAGGACAATAATTGACGTCGTGCTTATGAACGTTACTAATCAATTTCATATTCATTTTGTAACTGTCTGAAGAGTCATTAAAAGGCAGAAAGCGCTTACAGTTAAAATGATTATTCGAGTCTTGTGATTCTTGATTTTTTCATTGGATATATCAATACTTTACTGTACCAAAAATTGGATTTTTCATAAAGTATATATATATATATATATATATATATATATATATATATATATATATATATATATATATATATATAAATGGTATATATATGTTGTGTTATCAATATAAATAAATAAAAGTTTTAAAGATTCCGTAGAGGACTAACAGTCGTCATATTTATATATTTATTATTTAATATTTACTTATGATTCTCATAGCATAATTCTATAAAACATTTCATCTGATGGTGTAGACCTCCGTGCCAATGTAATTAACACATCGAGTATCCCGGGAAGAATCGCAGACTGAATTTCATATCGGATTTATAATTTTTGAAATAGCTAATGTTAACAGTCACCAGATTCGCGGTTTTTTATATTTAGGTTTTCAAGAAATAAGTATTGGATTTACGAGACTAAAATTACTCTGAGAATTCTGAGAACCCTTAGAAAAGTACAAAACTTGAATTTTTCATAGATTCTTTCAATTAAAAAAGAATGTGAAAGCGGTGCCGAATTTGAAAGTTTGTGTTTATCTATAAAAAATGTTTTGCTTGATTTGGTATAATAAAAAAAATATTTCATAAACGTGAGGGAAATATGTAATATATTCACCAAAGTAGAATCAAACTTCCCTTGGCCAAAACTCTGGGGAATACGATTTTTTTTCAGGAATTAATCTTCATAGCTCCATAACTATCATACCCTAAATGTGATTGATGATTAATTGGTTATTTGTATGTTGTTTTATGTCCCATTCGAGAATTTGAGACATCACCATATACCGGTAAAGGGTTTCAAATTTAGAACTCTACTCAGAAATCAGGGCCATTGAGCAGTGAGGGATCTTTATCGTGTCAACGACTGCAGTGACACGGAGCCTCGGTTTTTAAGGTCTCATCCGAAAGACCCACAAGTTTCACTTCAAATTGCTGAGCGCTTGCCGAAGAAACATTTGCTACCTATTTTTTCGCGGCCGGAGTTTGACCCACGACCTTCCGATCACATAGCGAACGGCCGGAGTTTGACCCACGACCTTCCGATCACATAGGGAAAGGTGATTGAATGATTTAGTGTATAGAATGAAGTATTGACCTTTTTCGACCCTGGACACCAGCACAAGCAGATAAAGCATCTGGTGAAGACCATGCCTCTATCCTAGTACCGCCCCAGTTTGTCTCAACCAATCCAATTGGATAGTTGAAGTGTTGTGATAAGTATTTGCCATATAGCCAGCAAACAGCTGAAAACCTTTGAAGACTCTCTGGGAACATAAGAAAAAACACCTTGATGTAAATTATTTTTCAAAAGTGATACTTGCTAGGCGCATCTACGAATACACAAGGGTTTGGATAGAAATAAGATAAACATACGCTGATTTGGTTTCAACCAAGCTGTATCTATGTGTTTAACATCTGTAAAAAGTGTCGGTGAAAATTCCCTATGTATGTGAAATAAACGGATATTTTGGTAATTTGCGCTGTCTGCATATTCTTCTGTCGCATTTAAGAGCTACAAAAATAGCAATGAATATTTGAATAATTATACGTGTACTTCAAATACTTAATTTGCTAAGAAAATACATTTTGTACATATAAAGGCTTATACGTATATTGGCCACAGCGAGGAAAAAATTACTACTCATTACAATAATCTTTTTTTTTCATTGAATTTAACATTGCATCGGAATTCCCTGTACATATATTTTACTACCAGGGGGACAGCAAATGATAGAAAGTGATTGAGTGAAGAATAGCTCAGAATCTGACATGATGTGAAAAAATACCTTTCTGAGATGCATAATTTCTCACCTTGGAAGCAAAAAACTCCATATTACTTTGTCCAGAGCAAACCCAGACGTCACCAAAGAGAACATCAGAGATCTGAATTGTTCCCAGACTTGACGTTGCAGAGACATTATAAGGCCCATGGTCTGAAGGACTCGTAAATTTTGCCTCCCAGATCTGATGACTATTAACAGTTGCCTGGGCAACTTCATTGTTGTTAAGTTTTATGTGAACTACATCACCTACTTTGCTAGAGTGTCCCCAGAGGCTTGTTCCGGTTGAACCCTGCTGTAGTACCATGTGGTCATGATAGTAGGACGAGAAAGTGAAAGTCGCTGCAACTAGAACAATTAAATAGAAAACTTAAAAATTAAAATTTTTCTTTAGTTAATTTACCAAGTTGACACATCTTGACTTGCATGTATCTTTCAGGTAGCGAGATTCCAAAATAAAAAAAAGAAACACCTTTTACAATGATAATATTCACTGCGAATTTTTATCTAAAAAAATAAGATCAGAAAAGCGCGATGCGCGATGGATTGTTGTATGTCAAGTTCCTGCACCAAGATACGATGTACAAGATTCTCTGTATTGGGTTTTGTTTAGATGAACAGTGTTACAATGGTTGCTTATGTACATGTAGAATAATACTGAAATTCCTTTAAAACTTTACTTTTTTTTTATTGTTTTGGTCTGAAGTCATTATAATTTTCAAGATAAGTAAACTCAACCAAGGATCATAAATACTAGTACATGTATATTTATTTTCGGTGCTAAAACTGCTAAATTTCAACTCAAATTTCTGCTTTTTTTTCTTCTTATCATTACAAATAAAAACCATAAAAATAAGAACTGTAGTGTATCTCTGGTTTTCTGTTGGGTTAAAAGTTTATCCCTCTTTAATTAAAAGCATGTTGTATAAACTTTTGGACCTGGTTCTTAATATTCTAGCCTTAAGAATAAATATCCATATAAATTTAATTAATTGCATTGCAACTTCTTAACAAATATCTATTAAAACCACTGTAACGCATAGTATATACTAGTGAGAGATAGACAAGAGGTTGTGTACCTATTATATTTTCTAATGGAAAAAGCTTACAAAATAAACTTACAAGAAGGGGCTACTACGACCAAAAACGTGAAGGAGGTTAAATAGAGTGTCCCCTGCCACATGGCCGGTATATTGGTGTCGTTTCTGGAGAGTTTCCTTATCGGTGTGACACTGTATGTGCGCATTAGATCTTGACCTCAAAGTGTCACTTTGCAGATAATCATTCAAAATACAAAAGGTATAAAAAAAAAATCTTGAAATCCATACTATTTAGGAAATATAAATCTATCAAACAAAATCTGGCTGAATGAAAGAAGGGCGCAAAGTTTGCTTTAGATGACTAGATTCAAATGTAATATATATTTGGCATTGAAATAGCATAAACATTTTTTGTTTTCCTTTCCATAACTGTTAGGATATAAATAAAAATTTCAAATTCACTGTTGAACAAGTTTATATAGACTATTGTTTAAAGAAATTTAAAGATATGATTCCTGAATATGAAATAGATTAATATCAATCAAATTCTAGATCTCTTATTGGTGAGAAAAGTTTAAACTAATTGTTAGTGTAAAATTTGTTTTATATAGTGTTCAAAAGATTCTCCTTTTGAGGTAATATTCAGGAAATCATTGAATTTGTAATTTAAAGATCGCTAGAGTGTTTTAAAAACATGATATTATGCACTGAATATGCATTGAATATATTTGATCAATACTTGTGCGTGCACATACTACACAATATTAGCTTTCCATTTAAGATTATGTGACCTGGGCAATGATATTTGTATATGTTATGGCATTATATGCATAAACCTTACAGGTAGAGTTTTAATGAAGAGTTTGAGAGTTTGCATCGGAATGTGAATCTTAAATGAGGGAATGAATCTTAAATGGTACCAATGCAATTTGTGATGCACCAGATGCGCATTTCGACAAATCATATCTCTACAGTAATGATGATACCGAAACGTTGGAAATGTTAATTAATTATGATTTGCTTGCATTTATGGCAATGTTCTAAGTATAGATACATTGTATGCATATGAGACTTGTACCACGTGATTTCCATTTTTACAACCAGAGGTACAGTTGCAAAGTCAATTGACGTCAGTTGTAGCGTTCATACAATGCATGGTTGCCAGGTGGATTGGAAATCTGTGTACCAATAGCACTACATTACACGTAAATGGGAAAAATAATTTTCCAAAAGTTCAAGTGTAAAAAGGTTTATTATAATTTTTTTTTTTTTCAATACGAATTTATTTGAAAACTAGTGCTAATTGTAACAGGAACCGTTACAGATGTTCCCCAAATGGCTCCCCAATCCCTTATGATGCCCCATTCCCTACAAGCTTCAATAAATTAGAGTCAATACTTTTGTAATATAGATGGACACTTTATTTTTAAGGGTATTTCATTGGAAAACTACTCCGATATAGCCATATGGGTATTAGCCAATCAAATTTCAGTGCATGTGCTTGCACATGTTTTCTACATTTTTCACATTAATTTTCTTATAGTGTCTCACAATACATACATTTGTGTTAAATATTAAAGAATTTCATTGATAAATAAGAGAGATGTGACCATTTAAGTATTAGCCAATCAGAATTCAGCATACGCGCATGCATGGCCTTGCATTCAATTTTGATAGTATCGTAATGTAGGAGCTTTATGTGCCTATCCATGTCGTAAATTTCATCCTGTTTTGTTGAACACCAAGGGAGTTATAGACATTTAAAGTTTCAACCAATCAGATTGCAGCACACCTGCATGCGCGTGTTTTCAAGAAATTTCCTATATAACATGTTGTAGCACCTTATAATATATACTTATATTCTAAATTTCAAAGTATTTTGTCAAAAAACAAGGAAATTATTGAGATTTTTGTATCAGCCAATCAGAGAAGAGCGCACGTGCATGCGCGTGAGTTCACGCTAATTTGACCATGTCATCTTGTCTAGACTACTAATACATCTTTATATTTTGAGTTTCAAAGCAATTCATCAAGAAATATAAAAGTTACGGCTTCATCAAGTATATCAGTCATTTCACTCATTGCACGCGCGCGCACGTGCATGCATGTGTGCGCAAAATGACCTTCGTTCCGAACACCTATACAACATGCCTATTAACCCTAAAAAGGTTTCATGTCAATCGGATGAGTGGTTCTATGAGAACACTCCCGGACAAAAAAGTACCGGAGAAGAAAGTAGAAAAAAAGAATAATAATAATAATAACTAGAGCAAAGCTCGTTGCAAAGCAACGAGTGGGTCTTCCTTCTTAGCGATTAGCTTGTAAGTTGACGTCGTAATAAAAGGATAAATATTTGTTTAATTTCCACCTAAAGGTTACATGTTTCTGTTTAGATTGTCAACTTTGCTAGCATTCTCTTTCTTCTTTGACCCAAATATCAGGAGACCTCATCTCCGGAACTCTGAATCTGGAGTGAGCATGAGGATATATAATTCTGAATAACTGTGCTCTCTCCAACAGTACTCTTGAAATTGTATCCAAAACACTAATACTCCCAGACCCTCATTTCTTGAATTTTGACTTTTGATTTTTAATTTCTAGACTTTTTCTATTCATCTAACATCTTTGATGCAATCATGTTAGTAACACGTGTCATACTACAGAATCATCAGTGTTTTGCTACATCACTGTCATAATAATTGCTTGACAAAACATTTACTCAGCATAGCTACATAGTAAGTAATCCATATGTGTTACTGATTGAGGATATCCATTCTTTGACAATCAGTAAGTAGAAAAATACTCTTACAAGAAATGCACAGGGATGATTTCAGTAAGACATGGTGTCACTTGTGGAAAATTTTAACATAACCTCTCTTTTAGCCTTTAACTTAAAAGTTAAACTTCATTATCTCAAAAACCGATATCTACATACATGTACCATTTATATGGCGAAGTGAGCTGGTACTCCCAACCCCTTATTCTTTAAGTCTTTTACCCTGCATGGTTATCTGGAGTCATTGGATATCTTGATGTTTAATCTTGGTCCAGTTGAAATTGAGAAAAAAATGGTTTTACTGTACTTCTTGCGTTCATTTATTTGTTTTACAAGGGGGGAAAAAGACACATATATTTAAATTTTTGTAACATGTTAAAATAATCTTTTACATGCACAAGTATATTACACATATATTCAAGTAAATTTTTTTAATAATAATTCATTAAAAATATTTGAATCCATTGAAGTTGATTGCAGTAGATATAATGTGAATTATGAGCCTAAGACACAACAAGCAAATTTATGGAACAGTGGTCTCATTCTGTCATTTGTCAACTGAAAAAGTTTGATGATAATAGGCTTGAAACTGTTCAAAATATGCCTCTAAATCATTTTGAAAAAGAATGGCTGCAGATTTAAAAAGTAGGTAACCATGAACTACTTTTGAGTCAACATGATATGACGTCCTTAGATGCATCAACTGACAAGATTTGATGATCCTAGTCCTTATAGTAAGCAAACTATCAACATTTTAATAAATGTAATTTTTGGTCAACTTTGAAGTGACCTTGAGACCAAGCCCTTTGTCCCAGGGCGATTCCCCATGCAAATTTAAATCTACAATATATCCTCATCCTTTTGTGAAAGTTTGGTGATAATCTGCCCAGTGGTTCTTGAGAGGACGATTTTTTAGCAACCAGTTCTTTTGGTTTTATTTACCTAATTATCTCCCCTTGTTTACGGGTCACAACCCTAAGTTTACTAAAAACGGGAGCCCTTGGGCCATGGATACACTATGACAAATTTGACAATAATTGGCCAAGGGGTTCTTGAGTTATGGCCCATATTCTAACAGAGGCCCATGGGTCACAACGCTCACCTGAGTTTCTTTGGCCCTGCTGTTCTTCACCAGACCCTCCCTCCCTTGTAATACTTATTGAGGCCCCACCCTACCCCCAGGGGCCATGATTTAAAAAATTAGAATCTACACTACCCCAGGATGCTTCCACATATGTTTCAGTTTTTCTGGCCCAGTGGTTCTTGAGAAGAAGATTTTTGAAGATTTTGCCTGTATTTCAATGTAAAACTTTAATTCCCTATTGTGGCCCCGCCCTACCCCTGGGGGCCATGATTTGAAGAATTTAGAATCTACACTACTACAGGATGATTCCACATAAGTTCCAGTTTTTCTGGCCCAGTGGTTCTTGAGAAGAAGATTTTTGAAGATTTTGCCTATATATTTTAAACTTTGATTCCCTATTGTGGCCC